GATCAAACATTGTACACGAAAATGAGTGACGCATTCTGCCGCCATTGCCGAGATGGTTGCTCATGAAATATGGGTCAAAGTGAAGGATTCATAAAGAAAATCGAAATAAACCAATTTTAATTATTTTGTAGAATATCTGAGGAAACATCTAAGACATAAAATTTTTTTTTCGTTTTTTTAACTTTGACGAAATTCAGTGTTGAATCCTTATATCCACGAAAATAGGTTACACCACTGTAGTTTGAATTAAAGATTAAATATGTTTTGTTATCACCTTGAAGTATTCTATGGGAAGTGAGATCAACTTAATTCAACATTTCAGAACTTTCACTAGAACTAGAACAGTACTGATGCAGGGCATGTTAAGACAAAAGATAGCTTGCCAGGCAAGGTAATATACGCCCACTGGCAGCTTTGATTTTGAATAAAAATATTTAGCAGTACAGTAACAATCACCAGTATGAAATATTTAACCTTCTTTTGTACTCTTTAGGGCGATACTGAATTATATTGAGTATGAGTTATTGCCCTTGATCTTGAAAACGTGTTCAATTTTTAGCTCGTGACAACTCTAGAGGGCAAACATTCAATCTTTAGCTCGGTACTGAATAATAAAACCAAGTTTTGTCAAAATCCGGCAAGAATCATGCCTTTTATTGTTTAAGAGCTAAAATTTGAAAGCGTTTATAAGAACAAGGTCAATAACTCCTATGAAACATATTTTGATTTTTTTAATTTTGGATAGGGTTCATCCTTGGGTGATAATAAACAATTTCATCAAGTTTCGTCAAAATCTGTCAAGAATTAAACCTTCTAGAATGTTTTCAAGCTAAAAATTGAACACGTTTTCAAGAACAACGGCAATAATTCATACCAAATATTTTTAGATTTTTCTGATTTTCAATAGGCTTTATCCTTGGGTGATAACAAACATTGTGCAAAGTTTCATGAAAATCCGTCAAGAATTGTGTCTTGTGGAGTGTTTACGAGCAATTGTGAACAGACCGACAGATGGACGGACGAATCAACGGACGGACATGGGTGACGGCAATCTACGCCCCCCATTTCATGTGGGCATATAAAAAAAACACATACACATTTTGATAACAAACTGGGACTTTAATAACTCATAAACTCATACTAAATATTTTTCTGATTTTCAATAGGGTTCATCCATGGTTGATAACAAACTCACCCACCAAGTTTTGCCAAAATCTGTCAAGAATTGTGCCTTCTAGAGTGTTTAAAAATTTAACACATTTTCCAGAGCAAGGGTAATAAATCATACTAAATTTATCTTTTTATATTTCTGATTTTCAATAGGGTTTATCTTTGATTGATAACAAACAGTCACACCAAGTTTCGTCAGTTTCGTGCCTTCTAGAGTGTTTGCAAGCTAAAAATTGAACATTTTTCCAGAGCAAGGGCAATAACTCATACTAAATATATTTCTTTTTTTCTGATTTTCAATAGGGTTTATCTTTGGGTGATGACAAACATTCACACAAAGTTTCGTCCAATAAGTCAAGAATTGTGCATTCTAGAGTGTTTAGACCAATTGTGGACGCACTGACAGACGGATATGGGTGACGGCAATGTACGCCCTCATTTCATCTGGGCGTTTAAAATGGTGTCAAAAAATGTAGAAATAATTCAAAAGAATCACCAAAATTTACCTTGAATCAGACTGTTTTTTTTTAAGTTCCTGAAACAAAATACACATTAACAACTAGTTAACAGCCTTGACATATATCACATCATTCTACCAAATTTCATCCACATTGAATAAACCTCCTATGCAAACAAGCTAATTTTGACACACATTTTCAACAAACTTTATCTTAACTTAACAGGATACTAAGTTGTCTATGTTGTTATCCTTGCAAAATATAGTTGTTTCTTTATTTCTTTCTTCTCAATCAGATCAATCTTATATAACGGACTCTTTAGACCCTAACTGGAGTGGCTACATAAAAATAAAATCACATTAAATACAGAACAGAAGTTTAGGACATGGAAAATATCAAAATACCTGAGATGTGCCTTGATTATTTTTCCCCTTTTTCTTCTTTTCTTCTGAAAAATTCAAATTTTACTGCCATGTACTGTATAAAGACATTAGTGATTGGGAAGACTAGAACAAAACACAATTTGTAGATATAACATAACAAGCTAAAAATTCTATGCCTCTTCAATAACAAAAGCAATATCTCATATCAAATATTTTCCATTTGTCTGATTTTCAATAGGGTTCATCCTCAGGTGATAATTACCAATTTCACCAGTTTCTTCTAAATCTGTTCTGCCTTTTAGAGTGTTTAAGAGCTTGAAGATAGCTTGCCAGGCAAGATAAACATATGTCCACACAGCAGCTTTGTTAAATTTTTAGACTCAATAAAGAGCAACATGAACCATAATAATTAATCTATCAAATTTCTATTCCATACTCAGAAGATGGCTTGCCAGGCAATGTAAAATACGCCCACTGGCAGCTTTGATTTTGAATAAAAATATTTAGCAGTACAGTAACAATCACCAGTATGAAATATTCAACCTTCAGTAATACACTTCTTTTGAACTCTTTAGGGCGGTACTGAATAATATTGAGTATGAGTTTTTGCCCTTGTTCTTGGAAACGTGTTCAATTTTTAGCTCATGAATACTCTAGATCGCAAATATTCAACCTTCAGCTCGAAACTGATTAACAAAACCAAGTTTTGTCAAAATCTGGTAAGAATCATGCCTTTTAGTGTTTAAAAGCTAAAATTCAAAAGCGTTTTCAAGAACAAGGTCCTATGAAACATTTTTCGATCATTTTGATTTTCTATAGGGTTAATCCATTGGTGATAATAAACAATTTCACCATTTTTCATCACAATCTGTCAAGAATTGAGCCTTCTAGAGTGTTTATGAGCTAAAAATTGAACACGTTCTCAAGAACATGGGCAATAACTGATACTAAATATTTTTCGATGTTCATCCTTGGGTGATAATGAACACTCACACTGAGTTTTGTCAAAATCCGTCAAGAATTGTGCCTTCCAGAGTGTTCACAAACTTGAACTTGAACGCGTTCTCAAAAAACAAGGGCAGTAACTCCTACTAAATATTTTTTGATTTTCAATAGGGTTCACACTTGGGTGATAACAAACACTCATGCCAAGTTTTGCCAAAATCCGTCTGAGTGTTCACAAGTTAAAAATTGAACGAGTTTTCAAGAATAAGGGCAATAACTCATACTAAATATTTTTGATTCTTCTGATTTTCAATAGGATTTATCCTAGGGTGATTACGAACATTCACACCAAGTTTCGTCAAAGCTGTCAAGAATTGTGCCTTCTCAAGTGATTTTTCTGATTTTCAATAGGGTTTATCCTTAGGTCAATATCCATTTTAAGAAGGGTGCCATCTAGTGTGTTCATAAGCAATTGTGGACCGATGGACAGACGGATGGATGAGGGTGACGCCAATATATGCTTGACATTTCTTGTGGGCTTATAAAAAGAATACTTTTACAAGGAATCTATTTTTAACTTTTTCAATCAGGTTTCAGTTCCTCTGATTCCCAAACCTTTTCTAGGTTCACAGACCATCTTTAAACTCAAAATTAACACAAATTAATTGAACAATAAGCATCATTTGACCAAGAACAAAACAGCTACCTATCTTTTAGAGGAAATTGATTTGAAAAAACAAGGTTTTAGATTTAGAAAAGTTGATTTTAAGAAAGTTGTCAGATTAATAAAAGTTGACTTAAAGAAGAAAGGTGTCATATTTATAAAGCTTCAATTAGGACGTTATTTCAGACCATTTTTGATTTTCAATAGCACTCTTTTGCTTAGATTATATATACTAGACAAGTTTACTAGGTTGTGTCCAAATCAGATACTAACTGTGAATTGTAGTGTGATTACAAGCTAATAATTTAAGGTGATTTGAAAATTAAGATAGTTAGTCATATCTGATATTTTCCAATTTTCTTTCTTTTCGAAAGGGTTAATCCTTTGGTAACAACAAACTATTTCACCAGGTTTTGTCCAATTAGGCCTGAACTGTGGCATGAATTATTTTTACAAGCCAAGAATCTAATGCTTGTATGTTCTCTCGCAAGAGAAAATTATTTTTAGCCCATTTCGATCTACCAGCCTCAACCGATTTTTGAAAGAAAATGGCAACTCCCACAAGTTCTGAAGCCATGGTCATAATTACTGAATTATAGATTCACACAGAAACTGTACTATTTTCAATGAATGTCTCACTGCACCAAACTGATGTAGATTTCTATTCAATCAGATTCAAGCGCCACTGTAGACTCTGTCAATAACAAAGATACCAAGCAAATGTCGTTACAGCTGTGCATAGACAAGGTCACACTAGATAAAAGAAAACATGAAGGTGATGTAATATATTTCTTATGTAGATAAGATATAGTTCTTACCTTTTTCTTTCTTTCCTCCACCCTTTTCAGTAGGTTTGTCATCCTTTTCAGTAGGTTTGTCACCCTTTTCACTAGGTTTGTCATCCTTTTCAGTAGGTTTGTCACCCTTTTCAGTAGGTTTGTCATCCTTTTCAGTTGGTTTGTCATCCTTTTCCTTTTCAGTTGGTTTGTCATCCTTTTCAGTAGGTTTGTCATCCTTTTCATTTCTTTTTCTGGTCAAATCTTCTGTATCATTCGAACTGCTTGTGTCTTGTACTTGGTCTTCATTCTTCCCACAAGGTCTTTTGTCATCTTTTTTGTTTGTCATGTTATCTGACAAGTCTTTGTCCAAATCATTTTTCTCTTTTTCTTGATCACCACTTTGGGAATTTTCAACATTTTCTGAGATATCATCAAATTTGCTTTTGTTTTCTTCTAAAAGTGAGTTGTCTTTAACAGGTAAACTGTCATTGTTTTCAAGCTTACTATTAGTATCTTGATTACCATTTTCTATGTCACTATCATCTGTTTCCATTGGCTGTTCCTTTAAGGGATGATCTAAAAGAAAATAGTCAAAGAATTTCCCCTATAACATGCACAAAAAATCTACCCAAATACTAAAGGGTCACCATGATTATAAGAAATACAAACTTTAAAACTTTCAAAATTAAGTAAATCAAATATTACTTACAATTGACATTTTTTGTGAATTGACATGGTTTCTTATCATTAGCAAAAATGTCCAATTCAGAAAAAAACAAAAAATTTCATGTGAAATTTTGTGTTATCGTTTCCAGGCAATGGCCCTGTAAGATTGTTAATCAACATACATATACAACGCTTTAATTTATTGCACAGGCTGATGCTAAAAATGACACTTTTTCTAGGAAACTGTCCCACTTTTCAATGGTTCTGAATGTTGAAATGAATTGCGCCCCCTTCAAAAATAGCAGTGGCCCATCATAATACGCCCACCATTGTAATGGCAGCCAAGTCATCCGGGCGGTTGACAAGAGCTATCAATAAATGAAATATTTCAAGATTAACATTTTCATACTGCACAAGCTTTATTCAAAGACTTTTCAACAAGTTTTGTCTAAATCAGTCCAGAGTTTTGTCTTCTGGAGTTTTATGAGCTGAAGATTGAACACATTTTTAAGAACAAGGGCAATAATCCATATTAAATATTTTTCGATTTTGTGCTTTTCATTAAGGTTTGGGTGCTTCAACCAAGTTTCTTAAAAAATCTGTTGAGAATTGTGAATGTGATTTCAAGAACAAGGGCATATTAAATATTTTATAGGTTTTTTTTTTAAATATCTATAGGGTTCATCATTGGCAAACAATTTCACCACATTTCGTCTAAATCTCTCAAGAATTGTGCCTTCTAGACCTTTCACAACTTAAAAATTGAACGAGTTTTCAAGAACAAGGACAGTTACTCATCAAATATTTTTCAATTTGTAATATTTTCAATACATTTCATCCTGAGGTGATAACAAACACTGACACTAAATTGATCAAAATCCATCAAGCAACCAGCTCTCAATTGTGTTTTCAAGAATAAGGGCAATAACTCATGTTTAATATTTTTCAATTTGTCTAATTTTCAATAAGGTTCAACCATGGGTTGACAAGTTTCGTCAAAGAAACCAACTGTCTATCGTATCTTCAACAACGGACAGACGGACCAACAGGGGTGACGGCTATATACGCCCAGATTAATGTGGAAATTTAATCTGGAAAGATGAAAAATTTTGCACGTCCTGTATGCAATCTAATGAAAATTACATCAATTCTAATTCCATTGGTCTGTAGTTGAGGATCTTTTGATTTCTGTCATTTTTCAGTATATTGCACTAAGAGGTATATTTACTAACCCATCAAAGTTTTAGTTGGTTTGCTGGGGTTATTTTCATTGCATCTATCATCTTCTTGAATAACAGTCTCAGTACTAACAATATCAACACTGAATCCCACAGAATTAGACTCTTTTGGATTTGCTACTTCATTAGAAACTATAGTTACAACAACACTTGGATTATCAGTTTGATTTCTATCCTTTTCTGGCATCTGTTGTTCATCACCATCCTTATCATCTGCAAAATAAAAGATAGCTTGCCAGGCAAGGTAATATACGCCCACTGGCAGCTTTGATTTTGAACAAAAAAAAAATTTGGCAGCACAGTAACAATTACCAGTATGAGATATTCAAATTTCAGCTACACACTTCTTTTGAAATTTTTGGGGCGATAATACTGTCAAACTCTGCAAGAATTGTGCCGTTTTCAATAAAGATAGCTTGCCAGGAAAGGTAATATACACCCACTGGCAGCTTTGGTTTTGAATAAAAATATTTAGCAGTACAGTAACAATTACCAGTATGAAATATTCAACCTTCAGTCATACACTTCTTTTGAACCTTTTAGCGCAACACTGAATAATATTGAGTATGAGTTATTGCCCTTGTTCTTGAAAATGTGTTCTATTTTTAGCTCGTGAAAACGGCAAATATTCAATCTTCAGCGCGAGACTGAGTAATAAAATCAAGTTTGTCCAAATCCAGCCAGAATCATGCCTTTTAGTGTTTAAGAGCGAAATTTGAAAGCGTTTTCAAGAACAAGGGCATTAACTCATACTAAATAATTTTCAATTCTTCTGATTTTCAATAGGGTTCAACCTTGTGTGATTATGAACATTCACACCAAGTTTCATCAAAATTTGTCAAGAATTCTGCCTTCTAGAGTGTTTACGAGCTAAAAATTGAACGCGTTTTCAAGAACAAGGGCAATAACTTACACTAAAGTTTTTTTTTCGATTCTTCTGATTTTCAATAGGGTTCATCCTTGGGCGATTACGAACACTCATACCAAGTTTTGTCAAAATCCGTCAAGAATTACGACGGACGGATGGACATGGGTGACGGCAATATACGAGGCTGAAGAAGCCTCCATTCATAGACTGTAGAGCCAGCAGTTTCCAATCTCTAACGTCACAAAGCACATAGGCAATTGGTCTCTGAGTTTATTTCAACTAGAAAGTCTATCCTCGACTAGTGTTACAACAAAGTAACATTTATCTTACAGTCCGAAAGGGTAACTCTTTACCTTCAACAGAACGGGGATGGCAATATTACACCTGTCGAGACACACCTTGCTAAACATGGAAACATGTGGGATCAATCCAGTAAATGGAGTGGCCTCACCATCTCAAAGAGGACATTGACACTTAAGATTCAACATTATAGGATAATGAATGACGTACCAGGGAAATCCGTCAAGAATTGTGCCTTCTTGAGTGTTTACGAGCAATTGTGGATGACGGTCCAACAGACATGTGTGATGCCAATGTATCCCTCCATTTCATGTGGGTGTATAAAAACTATGATGCTTTGACTAGATGGAGATATGAGGCTTTAAATAGTAATAAACCATTTATTCCTTTTGACAGAAGTTTTATTATTTAAAGCCCCATTTCATGATCGCATATAAAAAGATAGCTTGCCAGGCAAGGTAACATCATCGTTCCTACAAGCCAAATTTGACGCAATTTTACTACGTCAAGGGCAATAACTCCAAAACCGTTCATCCAATTGTTACCAATTTCGAACTTGACTGAGATCTCATCAATATATATATGCATACCAAGTTCTTTAAGATCAGATAAAAACTGTAGTCACTATTGTTCATACAACCATAACCATGTAGGCATATAAATATGTCATCAAATAAAGGTTTATTAAATAATACCAATTAAAGATCAGCGCAATATCGTTGGAAATTTGTTGAAATAACACTTGAAGATATCTGAGAAGATCTGTATTAGCTTATACTCTACCTGAAACTGTAGCTGAATCAATCTTTGCTCGTTCAACATTTGCAGAAGGCGGAGATAGTTCGACACATTGGGTACCACATCTTGGACAAAATCTAAATGCTTCTTCTAGCTCATTTAAGCAACACAAACACTTCATTATGCCTTAAAATACAAACAGTAGTCACGTAATGGATTATTAATGTAAAAGGTTACCCAATATAGTATTCGGATCACCAATACAGCAACAAATTTCATGGTAATATTTTCAAAGATAGCCTGCCAGGCAAGGTAATATACGCCCACTGGCTGCTTTTGATTTTGAATAAAAATATTTTGAAGAACAGTAACAATCAAATATCAAACCTTCAGTCATACACTTCTTTTGAACTTTTTGGTACGATACTGAACAATATTAAAAAGTTTTGTCAAATTCCACCAAGAATCGTGCCTTTTACTGTTTACAAGTTAAAACTGAAACCGTTTTGTAGAATGAGGTCAATAACTCGTATAAAACTTTTTTAAATTTTTTGATTTTCAATAGGGTTCATCCATGGGTGATAATAAACAATTTTCGTCAAAATCTGTCAAGAGTAGATCCTTGTGTATGAGCTAAAAATTGTATTTTCTAGAACGATTTATAACTCATACCCGGTACTAAATAGTTTACAAACACTCACACCAAAGAGGGCTTCACTCGTAATTTTTTTGACCAAATTTTGTGGCTTGCCAGTGAATGCATACAAGTAGATAACTAAATTATGAATTACAATATTATGACAAAAGATAGCTTGCTAGGCAAGGTAATATACGTCTACTGGCAGCTTTGATTTTAAATAAAAATATTTGGCAGTACAGTAACAATTACCAGTATGAAATATTATTCAACCTTCAGTCATACACTTCTTTTGAACTTTTTGAGGCAATACTGAATAATATTACCAAGTTTCGTCTAAATCTGTCAAGAATTGGGCCTTCTAGAGTGTTTACTAGCTTAAACTTGAACCGTTTTTAAGAACAAGGGCAATAACTCATACTTAATATTTTTCTGATTTTCAATAGGGTTCATCCTTGGGTGATTACAAATAATCACACCAAGTTTCGTCAAAATCTGTCAATAATTGAATCTTCTAGAGTGTTTATATGTTTTTTTTCGATTCTTCTGATTATCGATAGGGTTCATCCTTGGTTGATAACAAACAGTCACACCAAGTTTCGTCAAAATCCATCAAGAATTGTGCCTTCAAGAGTGTTTGTGGGCTAAAAATTGAACGCGTTTTCAAGACCAAGGGCAATAATTCATACTTAATATTTTTTCTGATTTTCAATAGGGTTCACTGGCAGAATATTATGACAAAAGATAGCTTGCTAGGCAAGGTAATATACGTCTACTGGCAGCTTTGATTTTAAATAAAAATATTTGGCAGTACAGTAACAATTACCAGTATGAAATATTATTCAACCTTCAGTCATACACTTCTTTTGAACTTTTTGAGGCAATACTGAATAATATTACCAAGTTTCGTCTAAATCTGTCAAGAATTGGGCCTTCTAGAGTGTTTACTAGCTTAAACTTGAACCGTTTTTAAGAACAAGGGCAATAACTCATACTTAATATTTTTCTGATTTTCAATAGGGTTCATCCTTGGGTGATTACAAATAATCACACCAAGTTTCGTCAAAATCTGTCAATAATTGAATCTTCTAGAGTGTTTATATGTTTTTTTTCGATTCTTCTGATTATCGATAGGGTTCATCCTTGGTTGATAACAAACAGTCACACCAAGTTTCGTCAAAATCCATCAAGAATTGTGCCTTCAAGAGTGTTTGTGGGCTAAAAATTGAACGCGTTTTCAAGACCAAGGGCAATAATTCATACTTAATATTTTTTCTGATTTTCAATAGGGTTCACTGGCAGAATATTTGGCCGAGCATTTCATATTTTTTTCTCGTATATTTCATTTATGATTATGAATGTGATTAAGAGAAGACCAGCATACATCTAATTAATGACACTTTTGGTGTCATCTATAGTGTTATTCAACTCAATAAAGTCTACCAATTATAAACAAAAACACATTTCCAATTGACAATTATTTATTTCATTTTTGTATTAGCCCAATAAGACAAAATGAAATTATCATGCCAAGGCCTACCTCTCTGTTAAATATTTGTTTTAAATGAACTGACTGCTGAATGTCACATGACTTAATACAAAGTTATGATTGGATAATTGCCTAGGAGGTTTTTCCACTTTATTTTTAGTACCTTATGCAATTACATGTATGGTGGCTCATTTGAGACTATATTCAATAAATCATAATCATAATTTTCATTTTTTTGTTAAATTCATTGAGTATTAACAATCTAAAATTTGAACCTGTTTTCAAGTACAAGGGCAATAACTCATACTAAAAAAATTTCAGATTATTTTGGTTTTAATAGGCCTCATCCTTGAGTGATTACCAGTACTAATCAAACCAAGTTTCATAAAAATCCATCAAGAATTGTGTCTTTTAGAGTTTAAAGAGCTAAATTTGAACGTGCTGTCAAAAACAAGGGCAATAACACTTACTTTATATTTTTGTACTTTTCTGATTTTCGATAGGGTTCATCCTTGGTTATAACAAATACTCAAACCAAGTTTCATCAAAACTGGTCAATAATTGTGACTTCTTGAGTGTTTACAAGCTAATCAAGAACAAGGGCAATAACTCATACATAATATTTGGAGATTTTTCTGATTTTCCATTGGTTTTGTCCTTGGGTGTTCACAAACGCTCACACCAAGTTTCGTCAAAATCAATTAAGAATTGTGCGATGTAGAGTGTTTACGAGCAATTGTGGACGGACGGACCGACCGACGGCAATATACGCTCCACATTTCACATGGGTGTATAAAAAGGCAAGAATAAAAGATTTCAGGAGGTTTCGTCAAAATACCATAAAAAAATTGTGACTTGTAGAGTGAAAAATAATTCATATCAAATATTTGTTGATTTTATTGATTTTCAATAGGGTTCATCCTTATACAGTCAAGTAACCTAAATTCGTTATAACCTATTTTCGTGCATTTCCGGAAATGATTAATAATATATATGTGCGACCTCGTGTGACCTCCGCATTTGTTTGTTTTGATAAACATGGGTTATCTCTACAATATCAGCTAGTAGAATGAATCTAGTAGTTTCAAGCAAGGTAAAATGTATTAATATATACTTTGACAAATACAAAATGGTGGATTTCACTTATTACCAAATGTCACCATTTTTTATCGGCCGAATTTCCTTATAATCCCTAGCGGTAATCGGAATTCCAAGTGTCGTCTGCTAGAATGTATTCCAACAAATGAAGTCAAGTAATCAACTATCGGATTCTGTGTCAGCAGAAAATTTCTATGGAACACAAAGTGGGCCATATTCTTATGTTGTTTCAGTGACTTTTAGCAATAAATCACGCTACGTATCTTATTTTGTCATTTTGTACTCCTGTGGCAACTTGGGATTCGGCGTATGAATACACAAAAACTTTCAACTAAAAATAGACAAGACGATGGAAAAAATCTCGGTCTCAGAGTTTGTGTTGAATATTTAAGTTATTTGTTTCTCTTACAGATGTACTTTCAGAAATGTATTTTCATCCCTTTGTAAAAAAAAAAAGACTCCATTGACCTTGCACTATTTTATTTGTGTTGTTGAGTATTCATACGTCATCGTCAGCCTAGCAACGTACGGGTGGGGCTTAAAGTTAATTGCCATTCATTCGAATTAACACATGAAAACTCTACAAAAATCTACATTCAATCCTTAAATATTACTCAAGTATGGTTTTACTGGTTTTTGATAAAAAATGTTGTTTTTCTATCTTAAAATTTTAAATGTAAAAAACACGCCCTACTCTTAAGCATATTACTTTTACTATCAATGAGTATCAAAAGTTCTATAAATTACTTTTACTTTCACTATCGCAAATAATTACTAGGTATATTTCATTATATACTTCTATATCTTATTCTTAGAAGTTTCTATTATCATTCCCTAGAATCTTCACATTAGATAGTGTTTTACCATTTACCTTACAGGCACAGATACGCCATTTTTTGACCAAGGTATTTTTTAACTAATCAGTAATAGTGTTCACACCTCACTTTCGAAATTTGAGCCTTCAAATTCCATGTGTCTCCAGAATTATCCGCGTTTGTAAGATAAAAAGACAAGTTGTCTTTTCTTGAGACACAGGAAAGACATCTTTAATCTAATTTGAGATATTTTGAAGGAATATGCAATTTTTGTGTATTCCTGGTACTTCCGAAAACTATTTACATATTATATTCAATACCGAAATCAACTCCCTAAAATGGTGCATCTGTCCCTTTAATTCAGGTCTACCCTGCAACTCCCTCTTTGAATTTCCACTGATTCAAACTTCACTTTCTATATTAGCTAAGTTTCCTTACAGAAAGTCCTTCATATGAACACCCAAAACCTAGGTCGAGGCGAAGACTGGATCACTGTCAGCAGAAAGAAGTCAACCTTTATTAACTTAAGTTCCTATAGTACAACTAGTGCCTAGGCCAACTCTTTTAAATCTAACAAGAAAGATGTGTCAAAATGATAAAATTTAACTAAATGACAGAACATAAGACTACTTACCGTTACTGAATTAAATTATTGTCAATAAAATAGAAGCTGTCCTTCGACGTGCGACATTACTGCGCAAAGAGTCGAAACGTCTATCTTCTTCCTTTGAAGTCAACATGTAGTTTCACTTTCATATTCGGAGAAAATCAACCCACGTGACTTAGTCTTGATCATCATATTGACAATTAAACCGCATCGTACTGTAGCCGAGATTTTCATGACTAACGTAAATATTGGAAATACCAATTTGGTAGACATCGATAGTTTTGAGCACTGGCGTATTAAGGCAGAGAGACCTTCGGCAATTCCCCACTCCTCAGGTCTACGAAAAGTCTTATTTTGAAGAGAAATTTAAGCCCCCTAAATGCTTATAATTCATCTCAGTATTCTCAGGCCATCTGAATTTCTGAAATCGTTGGCTTCAAACCCCCGGCCATAGTTATAAATAGAACTTACTATATATAACTCGGCCTCGCCTCGGAGATACACATCCTATTTTTGCTCCCACCCGCCTTTATCC